CCGTCGAGGGTGGCCAATATGCTGAAGTGGCCCTTGGTGAAATTGAGTTTGACACCCCTGGCCTAAACAGACATTTTACACGCGATACATATGATACATGTAGAACGTGCATGATACAACATGAGATAAGAGACAATATGATACCTTATTGGCTTTAGGATTCAGAGAGGAGAATAATAGAAATAGGGTGATGGTGAGGGATGATCCAATCTCAAGAGCGATTAGCAAAAAGATTAAGATAAAACTATCCAATTCGATATGATATGCGTTGATGTGATGTGATATGATATGGCAATATGATGCTAAATGTAACAACACAATATGATATAATGTGCTATGATATGGTATTATATAATGAAACTGAGTGAAATTCCTCTGTGGGTAGAGCATCCAAAGATCTAACTCAACTAAGAGTTAAACTAGTCCAAAATTTCTGTTTATTTATTTATTTACTTGCTCAAGTAAATGTAACTAAATAAATGTAAATAGTTACTACAAACCTCTGTCTGGTCAGCAATATAAAATAAAATATGACACAACATAAGAAAGCATAACATAAAAAACAACAACAAAAACAATATGATGGAGAGTAATTAAAGTGAATATTACTTACGGACCAAAGTACTCAAACACATTACTGATGATTTGCTTCAGCACCATTATAATTGCCATTTGAATGAACAAGTCTGTGAGACATCCACTCGGGTGACACTAAAAGAAACACAGTGAAACTTTTAGAAACAGTGCAGTCACTGTATTCACATAAGAAGTACAACAGCATTCCTGTAGCTGTTTCATGATATATGAGATATGAAACTGTAATCACTCACTTCTTCCAGTCTCCATTGCCCTGCAAGCCGTACATATTCACCTGGATGGCCATTGATCCTGTTATTGGTGCAAGAAAAACATCGAGTGACTTGTCCTGTAAGCCTAAACCAATCAGTGAAGAACAGCTGGCTTCAGAAATCAGAGCACAAATCCAAAGTTTTACCTGCCAAGAAAAAATGCCACATAGAAGAGGGAGGAGAAGTAGGTGAAGAACTGGAAGGTGAACATCTTGACTGTGAAACTCTTCTCTGTGTCAGCAAATGTCCTTGTCTCTTCTGTTAAACAGAACAATGTTTAACATGTTTCACAGGCCCAAAATATGAACAATGCTCAGAGAATTTGAGATACAGCATATCCAGTAATGCAGTCTCCAATATTTTCATGTTTTTTTCTCTGTTTCCCTCCGCTGAGTATAGCCTTACTCATCAAAGTCTAAGTACAGAACGCATTCGTAAAAATATTTCAGTTGCTTGGAAACTTTTCTTTAATCTTGTTTTTATTTTTTTATGTCATTATTCTAACCAATAAAAACGGTGTGTAGCTTTTAAAGTGTTTAAAGGCATTAAGAGAACGTGCGCGTTAAGCAGGTTTTAGTTTTGCGATGAGACAGTTCTAAGCCTTGCCCTAAGTTTTCAAGCCAAAGACGCTTTTTAGTGATTAATCACAACAGACAATTTTTTCCATGTGTAAGCTTATTTTTAATATTCCTGACTTCCTGCTTTAGTTTAAATTAGATATTTGTGACACCAAGAACAAGTAGAACAAAAATACCTATCTTACAGAGCTTCAAAGCAACAATCCGGTTAACCTGCAAAAAAAAGAAAAAAAAGAAAATCACAAGATATCAGGATCACAGATTACTGCAACAATAACAATGAAATATACATGTAGAGGTCTTAGTACCTTAGTCATAATGGTGATGATGAGGAAATGGAGCACAGCGCCTGCCAACATAGCGCCGAGGTTGCTTTTGAAACCCTTAGCCAGATTCCCTGCTACAAGCACCCTGACTACCACCAAGAAATGTGTCAAGCCAATAATCACCAGTATCTGAGAAAACAGAAAAAAAAAAAATCTGTTACCTGCCAATGCATATACTCCATAATTTACTGAAAAACACAATATATTCGTCCATTTCTGACCCCTAGAACAGATTCGGCCCTCTTATTCTGACCGAATAATGCATTTTGATGAGGTCATAAAAATGACATATCTCACCATAACTAAGACACAGATCAAAACCAGAGCGGTGCGCAAGTAAGAATGCTTGTACATCTTCGGGCGACATTCAGCATCGTTCACGAGTTCCAGGATCAGTTCCTCCTGCAATTAAATTAGAGCAATAAATTAGACCAAAGGGTGATTCGATGAGCTCTATTGCTGCCCGAGAGAAATACAATGTTCCAGACTGACTGTACCTCTGATTCAGACCAGTCAGTCACTCTCCATTCGCATACAAAACTGGCCAGATGTCTCTTCCAGAACTCCATAAACAGTGTTGCTGTGGAAGATAGTCTTCTCTGTAAATACCTGATTATTACACATAATCACTTTGTATGTGTTTTTGACATTTACCTTATTGAAATTTGCTTGTATTTGCAGTATATTGTCCAACAAACAAACAGAAAATTTTAACCAAATTGAAACTGTACTAAAAACATTTTTACATTCCAGGTTTAAATCTTACTTGTAAGTCCAAAATTTGTGGGAGTTTACACACAAAATTGAAAATAAATTCAAACATTCAAAAATTTGCACTATATTTCAACTCATACATTATATGCGACTCATATTCATGTTGATAAAACTTTGTGCCAGACGTTCTGATAATACCAAAGTGATCAGAAGATTGCCCAAATTTATTCCTAAGTTTGCACTTTTAAAAATGCATTTGAACTGTTCTTTTTTCACGATCGATCAAAGATGCTACACACATCTTTAATGATTTGTTTGAACAAAAATTGATTCCACAAGATTTTACTTATTGAGGATTTTCTCCAATCAATAGTAAAATGACCCGAAACACACATGTGCACAAAACAGGTTAAATTAAGGTTTTGAAATTGCCCTGCCATCAACTACACACAACAAAGTTTTTTTTTTGTTTTTAAGCACTGTGCTTGGAGACTGGGTCTGTGTCAGAAATCCAGCAACTTCAACTCTACAAATTCTGCCAAAAACAATATCAAATATCCAGTCAGAAGCTAAAAAAATCTTAATACTTATTGACCCTCAAAAAACTGCACATCAATCATTTCCCATCTTGACAAAATGACAAGTTTACTTCTGTGGGTGTGGTGTATTTTTAGTGATGTTTTTATACCAAACGTGTTTCTGGAAGCCCTAAAGTTCCAGCTTAATTTCACCAGACCATAACACGTGACCACAAGGCCTGGGGAGATTTTAGAAAGAACAGGGCATTTCCTTTGTGGTTGTTGCCACATGTAGAGAACAACCAATACTTAGAAACTCCTGTTGGCCGCTTCCATGTCCATTTTCAGACACTTCTTTTTTTTTTTTTTTTTTATGTTTTGTGTTGTCCCTGTCGTCCAATAATTTCTCTAGTCATCTGTTTACTTGCTTAAAGCTGAAAAAGGTGTGTGGTAAAATTTATTTGTTCACTTCTCCTGACTGATCCATTTGTAAAATGAGACCATGTTGATATTTTGTAGCATCTCAATAACTCTAATTAAAGGATTTAAATGAGCAAATATCAAGAATCTGCTACTGTGACAGCTGGATTTGAACTCTGGTTCATCACATTCTCTACAACTGATGGCAGATGTGAAATTAAACTGAACACCAAAACTGATTCAAAAGAAGCTCCAGCAAAGTCTCAGTTCAAGAGTGCATCACTGGTGCAACCAAGTTACTCTATGTTTACTATTTCTGATATTTATTAACTTGTACTAAATATATCTCATATTTTATGTGGAAGACGCTTGGAAAATATTTAGTAATGTTCCATTTGTACATTGTAATAACTCTGGCACTGTGTATATTTGAACCTGTATGCATAATTTTGACCGTGTCACAATAAAATCAACCTTGTGCATTCAATTCTTATACTTAAAGTCTATTGGATTTCATATGTTGCATGAAACCAGGGTTCAAATAAACTTTTAGGAGCCTTAAATCAGCATTACATTCATGCCCATGATGAGCGTGTGCAAACATCCAACCCGCACTAAAGTTACGGCCTAGAATGTCTCACTTTGTTTCACTGTCAAGTCATTTCTTAGCCTCTTTAGAAGCAGGGTTATATATTATTTCAGATTATATAAATTACTGCATGCTGAACCACTCCCACAGACAGATGGCGCCTGTTTTAGAGGTAAGTAGCCAAGAGTAGGTTTGATATTTTCTTGGCAGTGAACTTCTCGTTATCATAAAAAACTGGCAGCTAGATTAAACAATTCTGAGACAGAAGAGCATGCAATCGTGCAAGGTACAGCCAAAATGTTTCAGCAAATACACAATAGCATTATAGCAGAAATCTACCGCTGACTTTCAGTTAATAAATGTGTCTCACTGTGAGGGTTTTCATTATTTTGAATGTGCGTGTTTTCATGTGCTCACAAACTCACTCCATATTGCCATGAACATGGCGAAGAACACCGTGCCGTTATTGTCGAACAGCAGGCTCAGCTGTGAACAGAGAAGACCAGCAGTGAGAACCAGCCAGCAGCTATTAACCACAGAGCTACTTAGTAGTAAAGCAGACAAACCTTGGCATATGAGCATGTGTCTGAAAGCTTCCACACTTTGCAAACGCTGTCACAAAGTGGACACATGACTGTGTCAGACTCACAAACCTCTTGTCTACAAGACAGTAAGGTCAGTCATTATGGAGGGGTAATTACAGACGAAAATGTTCTGTCATATCACTTAAGAGAAAGAAAATGTTGCTTACACGAGGGGTGAAGAGTTGAAGTAGCTGAGGCCGTAGAGAAAGACTAAGATGCCAATAACAGCCGGTAGGATGAGGAGAAATGTGTACCATCCCAACCACAGGAAGTACAAGGCCACCTTCTCTCCAAAGTAGTCCCTGAAAAACACACAAACAGTGCAGACAAGGAGAAAAACGCAAGTCAGAGGAGAAACAAACTGCATGCAAATACTGCACTGTGGAAAAGCATCTGCCTCTTTTTAACACTTTAATGTTTGAAGCCAAACTAAATTTTAATAAAGATGGTGAAAGCCCATATAAAAAGTTTCCCAATTATGGTTTCACCAGTTATAGCTAAAAGCTATAAAAAGCCACTCTGTTAAATCATGGATTCATTTAGAACAACTATTTCCAAAATCTTTGGAAAGATAAACTCAAATTCGCTGCTGAAGTTTTATTACTAGATTTATTCGATCAAGAAATAAAACTAGGCCAAAGCACTGGTCCTCAACACTAGTTCTTAATTCAAGTAAAGCCAACTGAAGTTTATTTGGGTTGTACAAAAAAAATACAAAAACATTCTTAATTGTCTGGCACTTATATACAGGCTGGCAGATTGGGTCTTAGATATAGTTAGCTTGATTTAAATCTACCAAAAAGTAAAAGTAACATGCATAATATTTTTTATGCTGCTTTTTTCATGTTTTATGGTGTACAGCACTTTGAACTGCCCTGTTACTGAAAAGCGCTGTAAAAATAGACGACATTAATTGGCTGGTAATAAACATTGCATGTCGATGATACAATCACGTTTGCCTAGAAAGTTTAGAGAAACACGGAAGACTAAAAATATTCATATATGAAGTCAGGTGTGATCCAATGTTTGTTCTCAACATAAGTAAAAACTATTTTGTTTTTATTTCCACTGGCGGCACATGATCTATGTGGGCTGCAAGTGACTCTTGGGCTGTTGTTCATGATTGATGGCAGGGTGGAGTGAGATAGAGGGATTAGGACTCAGGCAATCTGTCACCTCTCACCTATGGACATGATATATTGATGTTAACAGAAAGAATGAGATCTTGGTTATGACCAACTTAAATAAACTTCTTTTGCAATGTGACTCAGATCTCCTCTTTTGTTTGAAGGGAGTTTATGATACAGTTCCAGGTTTTAACAGCAACATATTTTTTATTGTTGTTTATATACTTTTAAATTTTGACTGACAGCCTGTTTGTGTTTTTTTGGTACTTAAGAGTTGATTACATTGTTAAGGCTTCTGCTTATTTGCCTACTTTTTTAAAGTTAAGATTCTCACTACGGTTAAAATGTTGGGGTTTCTGACAACAAATCCAAAATTTGAATCCTGTGTTGTTATTAAGAGTCATTATCACTTTTGCTTCTTGTTGCAAGATATTTATTTCCCACCCCCTATTAATGGCAATTCCTTTGGAGGACTAGTATATAAGCTAACTCCCTTAATTAGAAGAAACCCTGCATCTTCTGAATGGCTCAATCTTCTTCTTCTCAAACTAAAGGGGGCAGTACCACACATTTTAGATTTATATTTGCACAGAAAATATAAAATAATGTCTTATTATCTTTGTACTTCAAAAATATATGCTACCTTATGTTGGTATATCAAACAAAGTCCAAACAGAAGGACAAAGAAAGGAAATTTGTAGTTGTAATGTGGTAAAATGCAAATAAATAAATAATGTCTGTTTTGTCAAAGTTATTATGCTGAGAGAATTATCTACTGCAAGTAAGATAATGACTGTTTATAACCTCTCGGCAAAATCCGATTTCAGAAATTCTGTACTATTCTTTTAACTACAAAAATCTTGCAGAATCTTCAAAAATTACAGAAGACGCATAAGCTGAAATATACAGAAATGATGGTGTTTAAAAATATGATAAATGAATAAAGGCAGAAATAAAAATAGACAACAAATGATAAAGATTTTGTGTTGCAAGTCAAGCCAGAGTAGTGTCAGTACTGTTAAAATGTAGGGGGATGAATCATGTGTTGCATTTTCTTTTAAACAAATGTCTGTAATTATGTTGAAAAGAAATCCTTGCCAATCATTTCTGTTTCTTCTGGTAGTATGATTGATATCAACATCTTTTCTGCTTGCATGTGAAATTCCACAGGCAGACCTCGATTAGCACATGATGTTGGAGGGATCTTGGCTGTTTTCTTGTTTCTATAACAACCCTGCAGCCATTTAATCAACTGCATAAAAAAGCAGAATAATGAAGAGGCTGTTGTGTTGCAGTCCAAACCTGACTTTAGTTACAGGTTGCCCTTTGAGACAGGCCGACCATCGTGCCCATTCCTCCTTCAGCTCTTTCTGTTTCCTTTTCTGAAAGCGGGGGCGCAAAATCAAAGGAAGTCATCAATATGAAAAAGAGCTTTGAACAAACTGCTTCCATACTGCATACAGTTGCACTAAGAGATGAGTCCTGCAGTGTGAGAATGTGATGTGGTGCCATTTTCAAAACATTTTAACAGGTTTTGCCATGTTTCAGCTAGCATTATTGTTGCTGCACATCTGAACAATCATGCTAAGCACACAGGAAATTAATTTATCTTATCCTGCCTGTTTGTCCAGAAAACAGAAGGGCAAACATGCTAATGTTTTCCCAGTCGCATAACAACACTGTATGCTCACGCACAAGCCTGCGTACTCCCAGCGCTGCATGACTCATTGCACTAACATGAATTGCATTGCATTTCTGTGAGCAAATATCTTTTGGCAACAATGTTTTGTTAAGAAAGCCACAATCAAGTTTCACCTCATTATCTTAGAAGCATCTAAGAAAAGAAAAACATTTAACCAAGCAGATTGGACTTCATCTTAAGGACGCAATTGTTTTCTCTGCAACCAAACTTGTTCAGTGCAATTAATCACAGCTGATAAAATGTCCCTGACTTTTCTAAGCTTTGGTGTAAAATGTAATTACCATTTTGTGATTACATTTTACATCTCAAATGAATGCTCTTGGTGTTGAACAAAGATGTAAAGTTGGAATTTTACCTCATGTAAACAGAACCTCGTCTCAAACACCTTAGACTTCATGAGATCCCGCAGGTTCTCTGAAAAGTTCCCAGCAAAGGAGAATGATGAGAAAAATCAGGAGTTGATTAAAATCACTTTTTAAGAGCCCAGATTATCAACCGCTCTGACTCACCTTTAGTGCTGATTTGTGTGTGATTTATTATGAAGTGGACAATCCTTATCCTGCAATAATGGGACAAGTATCACTTGTAAAGTCAGTGATGCAGCAAATGAGGAGAATAATGTCATTTATTCAACTGACCCATAAATACATTTACTTTTAAATAATAATTTATTATTTAAATAAATTGATCTAATTCACACAAAATAATAAAAAATGAAATGTTTATAAAAAATAACTGTCATAGCTTTGGTGTGAAGTTGATATAAATCTTGGCATAAATTACTTTTGTGGGAACATTTTTGATTTTTCAGCAAGGAAAGATGAGACAAGCTTTCATCTTTTTTTTCAAAACAAGATTGGAGGTTTTCTTTTGGTATATTTCTCAAATAAATTCAGGGTCAAAATACTACAAACAAGCTCAAATGTATACAAACATCCCCACTAATGTTTGCATAAACGTCCCTTAGCAATTTATAGAGACACCAATGCTTTTTGTAGCTTTCAGGAAGCTTCTTATGGTGAAATGAGACAAAGTTTAAACTAATAGGTCACAATGACAGAATATATGTTTGAAGGAGTCAAACTATAATAAAAGAAAACATTACCAACTGTCATGCTGAGGGCTTATTTTGCTTCAAGTGGTGCAGCTCATAATGTGGATTGAATAATAAAGAAGCAGAAATAATCTGCTTTGTTAAAATTTGGCGCTCAAACAGGATTATGATCAAAACCTGTTTTAGAAAGGATAAAGCAGGATAACCTTGAGCTTCTAGACTTAAACTGACTTAAACTATTTAAAGTTCAAGGGTAATGCTTTAGGCTAGATTCTCAAAATGAACTCACTCACTCACTCCAGCAAGAACTATGCCAGTTGTTTCTTGTGTTTGTTGATGGCTACACAAATAGGTTAGTATCTCTGCAAATTGCTAAGTAGTGTTTAATCAAATATGAGTGGGGGTGTGTTCATATTCGAATTCAAACTTGTGAATCCAGGTCTTGTTATTATATGCACTGAGCTTGAGTGTTGTATATGAAAACAGATCTTCGTTACAGCCTATTTAAATTAGTTTCTTCAAAAAATAACAGCTCATAAAATCATTCAAAGCTGGAAATTAATAATACGTTCACACCGATGAGGAAGGTGTGTAAACCTTTGATGTGAATTGCAACACGTAGCGTCTTTAGAGATCATTTGTATGAAAACAATCTAATATATGATAATAATAAAAAGGCACAATGTTTAAAATAGCATCAGGGGTTGTTTTGAATGCTAAACATAGCTGAAGCTGCTGGTCTTACCTTGTGCTAAGAGAGATATTGCTGTCTGTTGAGGTCCCACTGCAGGCATCGGATATTTTGAGCAGATATCTGTATTTCTGAAATATTTCTTTTGGTGCCTGGATCCCATAGAAGACGAGATTATCGTAGATAATTTTCTAATAAGAAGAATTGTGACAAATTAATAAGGAACCTTACCACAAAGAAAGTGCATATGCTTTTGTTTATTATGTAAGACCCACTGTCACTTTGAAGTTCTTAATCCTCAGCTGCTCTATGTATTCCCTTTGTTTCTTGGCATGTCTCTCCCGGTCATCCATCAATTTAGCGACCAGGACGTAGTCGTATGACAGTGGAGTGAACTGTGTACGCAAAAATGATGCCGGTCAGATTTATCGGTGAATGATCAGTTCTGGGTATTCTTAGAATTGGCCCATCAGTTCAACTCACCACAGGAGGAGGTTCATTGCCATTCTCTTTCACCACTCCCATTAATTCCAGTAATTCGATACTGGGCTTTATCACAAAATAACAACGACAAAAAAACAAAAAAAGAAGCTGAACTTAAGTTGCAGAGTTATAAACCATATACAAGTAGGAACTGCATAAAACCTTCATGGAAGTGTTAGAAATGATTAATTCATATTAGCAAACAACAAGTTCCCTGAGTCTGATTGTGCTAGATTCAAATCTTACACAAACCACTTGAGAGTTCATCACCTGCTACAGAAATCCAGTCTAACTATAACCTGAGGCGTGTCCAGGAATGTCAGTTTAGGGAGAAACCATGAACCTGACTCACCACAGAGAGCTGCCTGCACAATCTATCTATAACCTGAATGAACGGCAGGTTATTGGGCTATATCTCAATCAGCAGAGCAATCATATCCATACAGCTAAGCCTGAATGTAGTTCCAGTCAGGAAGGGAGCGGCTAATCTAGTGGCACAATTTGAGTTCAATCACTGACTGACTGTGCAAATACAAACAGCCTTTTGTAAAAAGGTCATCAGGGTTTTTGTTTTTTTTATGGGTTTCTGTCATGTAGAAGGGTTACACAGCACAGTAATTAGTCTGTCTGGACTCTATGTTAAAGAACAGAATACGAATTGCTTTCTAGGAGCGAGCTCTCGGTAATACAACTAATATCTGTCCCTTGAGCAGCTCCATTATGTATAGATATGATTATTAACGCAACCACCTACCTGCCTCCTGTGCCCCGGCATGATGAGGGAAACCAGCGGCAACCTCCCGGACAACAACAACAACCTTTCTCTCCCCTGAGTCCTCCAATCTCACTCAGCTCTTTGTTATATCCAACTGAAAAAAAAAAAGAAAAGAAAAAAAAAACATGCAGTCTTCAACAAACAGCCAGCCGCTAACTTCTGGATTACACCTGGAAGAAATGTGCCGTCCTCTCTTACAAGCAAAGGTATGCCAGAAGCGACTCTACCTGTTGCTGCTGTCACAGCATTTATCTTGACTGACGCCACCTTTTATGTTTGCGTCAGCTCAGTCCGTACGAACAAAAGCGAGTCAAAAGAAAATACAAGAAAACCACCGTCCACACTGTTGCACTACTGGCAAAGCCAAAATGAGACTCTGGATGTGATTTGTCAGGTGAGAGAATGGAATGACATCTATTTCTTCGTTGCCTCCCCCTCCTCTGGACTGTGAAGTTCCGCTGATCCGCCGCTAGATGGCAGCAAACATGATGACGTTTCGCCGTCTGCCAGGCCTCTGACGAAGCTGTGATTGAATCATCCGGTTTTCTCAACAGTCGCTCCGACATTTTTCAAGAGACAACGATTCATTTGCAATAATGGAGAACGGACAAAATCCTTCCTTTTATTAGTTGCATCAATGCTAAATTCAATTCAAAGATTTTTTTTTATCTCAAAAGAAAATTAAATATTGTATCGTCCAAGTATTTTCAAAGAGTCGTTGTGAATTAATCATTAGTGAATGTAAATCTATAAAGTTGAAACGTAACCTTTTTTTTTACCCTCCCTGTCTAACTAAGATTTTCTTGTTTTAGCTCAACCAGGTTTACAAAAGTGATTCATTTTTGCTAAATACCAGAATAATTCTTTCTTCAATGCTGTAAATTTCCTTGGCATTGGGAAGACTCACCCTTTCACACAGTGTAGCTCAACTTCAACATCTTTGAATAATAAATACACAAGCTTCTTAAATTGATTTGCTGGAATTGTGCTGCATTGCCCTGACAGAAATGTTGACACTGACTCAGTTTCTAGGTCTTAAACACATTTAGCTCTTCCAAATGACTTTCTGTGTGATGACCAGAGCTGTAACTAATTTGGTTTTATGATTAGGGTCACTGTGAATTTTGTACACCAATATATGTCCAGATTTTAACTCCCTGTTTGATATCTTGAGACGTTGCATCAATATTTATAATGTTCTTTACTCGAGTTACTCTCCACTACATAAAGAGCACCAGTCCCTCCAGTAACCAAACCCACCTGATATGAAGCTGCAAAGACAGAATACTGTAATTTTTGTGTATGTTAATCTGACTTTGAGGAAAAAACAAAAATGTTATCTAAAAAAAATATTTTTCTTTTACTCTGGCATTTAGTAAATAAAAATAATTCTGGTAATCGTGACTGGTCTAAGACAGGGAACATGTCTGATTTATTCCCAAACAGTGAGCAAAAAAATTAATGTCTCTCCATAGATACTCTATATTGATATTTTGCTTAAAATTGTAATGAAAAATGTATTAACACTTAGCAAAGACACCAAAATTACCTAAGTGTTGTATATAATTTTACTTTTGGAAGTTGCTACCCAAACAATTCTCGAGTCTTACAATGTAAAGACTGAGCTGGTCTATGTGCTTAAAAATGGAGTCAATCAAGAGAGAGTAAACAAATATGTCTGTTGGATATGTCAGTATGGCAGGAAGATGAATAAATGTAGAAAATTAACTCACCATATCAAACCCTCCTTCCTCACCGGCTTCAAAACAGTCTGTGTCAAACTGCTTTCGAGAAAAAGTCTTGAAAACAGTCTGTCACAGCAGTTTTCCTTCCTCTTCTTCTCTTGTCTACATTTATGGGAAATGCCAAAGGAATTAATAATTTAAGTAGTTTAATTCCAACTAAGAAAATCAGAGAAACAAATGAAAGAACAAGCTTTTCAAGAAGTTTTTTCTTTTTGTATATTTCATACCCCCTAATTGTTCACATTACAGTGACAACCTTCAGTGCAATTTTTTGGGATTTTATGTGATTATGCCAACACAAACTATGACATAAAGTAAAAAGAAAATGATGTTATCATTATCAAACTGAAATTTTGTCTAAAAGTGTGAGTTGACAAATTAACCAACAGTAATTACTTTTAGTGTACAGTATGCTAGGATATGTAAGTTTAGCTTTTTTTTTTGTTTCAGCTTCCGGTAAGCTTCCTGTTTTATTTTGTTAAGCCATTTCCTTTTTATGTTTTTATGTTTAGGTTGTCCTGGAGTTGTGTTTGTCAGTATTCAGTGTCTTTGTATGATCCTTGTTAACTATTTGTTCTGCATCTTGATTATTGGCTAGTGCTAATTATTGCTTTGACACACATTTTCATTTCATGCTGGTGTTTATTTTCAAGATTCTTTGCTCAGCTCTGATTTTAATCTGTGCCGGGTCTGCTTGGATCCATCGCCTCAATGAAAGGATGATACTGTTTGAGAACATGCCTCTGAGGAAATTAAATCCTGCAATTGCTTTTCTCATAAATTCAAGTATTAAGAGAAGCATTAAATCTTGCTAAAACATTATGAAATTTGTAACATTCTCACTCAGTTCCTCCATTTTCACACACTGTGTCTGCGTCGGCTTCCCAGCCTTCTCGTTTGGGTGTAAAAAGAAAAAAGCAAAGCAACGTGAACGGGTGGTCCTCTGTGCCTTGTTATTAAGGATGATTTTACCATTAGCTTCTGAAACCTTGGAGGGTAGACCCACATCCCACAGAGGAGAAGCGACATGAGGATGGCGGGAAAAAAAAAACGCACGGCGGTGGGATAAATAAGCGGTTATATTTCTGCAGCCAGCCACACCCAACAGACGAGGATCACATAATTACACCCGCACAGGGCTGTGTAAACCACTTGAAGGTTGACAGAGAGGGGCCACTGCTGCTAAATTTGACCAGAGTGGAAGATCAGAGTGGGGAGGAGTCTGGGAGGTGCAACGATGAACTGTGAGGGGGCATTTCCTCATCTTCATGTCGGAGAGGAACAAACACTCAGTGGTGTGGTTACCTAAAAAAGGTCACCACGCATTGTCCTGCTTTAAACAAACCACTAAACTAAGCATCCTGCCTCCTGTATGAGGATTGTGTCTAAATAAAGGCTTTCTCGTTTCATTTTTTTTTTTTTTTTTTTACAGTTTACACACATGCACACATGTTTTCTTGACTGTTCTAGAAGAACAGTCAAGAAGACAAAATACAGAGTCAAAATACAGAGTCGAACCATCAACCAATTTGCGCCATTCTCTACTAAATCATTACGCTAAATGGCCCTTGCACCACAGATTGGACATTCTTGGTCTATAACATAAAATCCCAATGAATAAATTGAGATTTGTGGTTGTAAAATGACAAAATGTGTAAAAATAATTGCAGGGGCATCAAAACTTTTCCATGACACTGTAGTTTGCTTATGCCTAAGGCCGGCCTGCATTTTGTACACAGAACCTTTCTTAATTGTCCAAACACTGAAGTAAACAACTTCTTAGTAGCCTCCCTTGGGAGGTCTAACTCCAATCATGTTAATTAAACTCGGTGGTATATTGCTAATTTCAAAGCTGCAGTTGTTTTAATGAACTACAAAGTGATATTTATCAAACATTCTCTTCTTTTTAAAATCCCAATTGATTAAGCTTAATTTCACAGTTCGCTTCCGCGTGCTGCCAACGTGTTTTCGGAGCATCTGAATGTGAGGCCATTGGTCCGTGGGGTGGAGACCCTCCCCCTTGCGGAGCTCCCAGTGGGCCGGGCGGGGAGATGCAGCAGTGAGCGGTCAGCGGGTGAGGGAGGGCAGTTTACCCTGTCGAGTCAGCTGCTTGGGTAGCTGGGGAAGGGACGGCCAGCAGCTCGGACCGAAGCACAGAAACAGCCCGGAGCGGGACACTTTAACTCCGACAAAATCTCAAAATGCGCCGAATAACGGGGAAAGGAGGAGGGGACAGTTTAATTGAGATGAGCCCGACTGAATCTCTCAGCGGTAAGTACAAAAGAGCCAGAACCAGACTCACTTCTTGAACAGCGGATACTTACAGTGATGTTTGAAATGGAACAGCTGAACGTCTTGAACTGCGTCAGTTCTTTAGATCTGAACTCCTTGTAGACAAAGAAAGAGACTCGATGTGATATAAAATTACTATTAAATAGGAGAGATTTAAAGTTGTAGTATTATTATTTTACTTTTTTTTAAAATCTTGTACACAAATTGTACGATTTTTTAAAAAGAAAATCTTATTTAGGAGTACAAAATGAATCCTATTTTACAGGATTCTTTATCATTTCAACATTTTTTGCTAAATTTGGAAGTCAGATTATCACAAGTAAAACTAAAAACTTTCCCCACCCTGGTTCTCTCGCTTTAAGCGCCTTGGCCAGCTCATGGTTTTGCTTTCCACTCTTGCAGGCAGTAGTGAGTGATTTACATGGAGCCAGGCTTTAGCAGCTGGCCTGTCTAGTGGAAACACACAGTCACCTCCAGACAGGCACTGTGTACGCCAGCAGCAAAACACAAAATCCCTTTCTGTTCCCAACTGAATGTAGTTTTTAAACAAGCTGGTCATCATGTTGGGTTTTCTTTTTTTGTCATTTATGGCTAAAAACAATGTGTTGTGCTGAATGAAAGATGAGTCATTCTCTAGCAAGGAATCTCTGGTGCTCACAATACCTTGCAAAGGTATGCAGATCCAATTGAACTTTTATTGTGCTTTTATGTGTTTTTCTAAGGGATAGATTAACACAAAGTAGTGCATAATGCTGAAATAGAGAAGCACTCCAACAAATCTGTGTAATGGTAGGAAACTAGCAGTGCCCACATCACCCTGAATATACCATCTGAGCTAAAAGACTACAATTTTTTCTGTCTCAGTTTAAGTGTTGCAAAGAATTGGAATATATCTCAATATCTAGATGTGCAAAGCTGGTAAAAAAATCATCCAAAAGGCTTTTTGTATTGGCTTAGTAGACTAATTAGAGTTTTGCCTAGAGTTTTAAAATGTTAAAAATGTGTGGTTTCTTCACAGTTGGGAGATAAACCTCTCACTTATCTCCCAACTGTGATAAGTTGGGAGATTAGTGTTGATGTTAAGAAAACAGTGAAAACAATTTTCCAAAGATTAACCATCCAGCTCCAGTAAATCAAATCAGAAATATACTCATGATGTTTGTGGAGACATTGTTCATGTTTTGGACAAAGATGACCGTCCTGTGTTTGGTAATTCAGAATACTGTGCTGCTTGTCTTGATGCCAGCAAAGTGTTTAGAAATGTGCCTGCTGCCCTCAGCAGACACACAGGGCATCTGAAACTTTCAGTTCATGACAGATAACCACACCCTTCATGCTTTGCAAAATCTGTCCAGCCCAAAACGGTGAAACTAAAGAAACTGAAACTATAGAATTATTTCTTGCAAAGAAAATGCAGAAATTACTTTGGGTAACTTCAAATACTTCTGTCTTTCTTTTTTTTTTTTTTTTGCCTGTGCTGTTTGCTGAAGCCAGTCGGCTTTGTTTTTGTTACTTCTGAATTGCAGACTGACTTGTAAGTGGTTTGATTCACTCCGTTGTGAATCTCCTGATTTTCTCTGGCTAAAAACAGAGAGACAGCAGCAGTGTTGAAGTATTTCCACAGTGATCAGCTGCTCCTTTCTGAACAAAGCTTTAACTGTGGAGGCTTCCTGGTGGGGAGGACTGCTGGCATGGCTGACTGGATGAGATCGCATCACATACAAACGTCCAACTGTGAAAAAATATGCTCAGCTGTTTGAAAGTTGTTCTCCTGCGCTGTGAATGAAATGCTCCCTAGTCAAGGATGTGATGATGTCTGTTTAAGATAAAAACAGGAAGCTGTGGCACATATCTTACACTGTGTTTAGGATTGTGCTGCTTAAATCCTCATGCTAGGTAGATTAGGTCTCTGTGACATTCCCTGGTATGCAAAGAAGCAACTATGTGGACTTTACTAAGACCGTGCTTTCTTTTTGCACAATCCTTACATGGATTTAAAAGCTTCAATCTGATGTTGTTTTTCATTAAACGAGTAGCATTTAAACATTGAGCATGAATGCTGCAGAACAAGATGTTATATTTGTACTAATGCTGCCACTTCTGGCTTTTGACAGTTCATGTAGGTTTGTAAAATCTTTCCAAGTTGCTTTTTCCTGACTGCAGATGTAGGCTGAAACCAAAACCCTCCTTCACACTCCCAACAAATCTGTGTAATTCATTGCATTGTATTGTGTCAGAACATTAAATAAAAAAAAAATTCTAACTGGCTTTATTTTAAAAAGAAAAGTAATAACTGCACCAATAAAATAACATTTTGATCAGTACAGATAAAATGCTTTTTAATCGTGTTAGTACTTTTAAAGTGTATAGATAACTTGACTAAAATATCATTTTCATAAAATTATTTAGTTTCTAGGAAAAGTGTGGAAAAGCAATCACTTCCTAACTGGTTTTTCCACATTTGACTGGCAGTGAGTCTTGTACGTACCTGTGGTCGAGTTTTATCCCACTCTTCTTTCTAGATCAATTTGATTCATTCACATTTGAGCAGGTAATGTCAGAGCTTCACAATTGGACATCAGAGACTTTCATGGACTTTGACTGGGCCTCTCAAAAAGGGTAATTGTTTAGGTGGCCAGTTAGAGGTAGTCCTGTTTGTGTGCTTTGGATCGTCGTCTTTCTTTTTATTGCAGGTGCGTTTGAGCTTGAGATCTCAAGCTGATGGATGTACATTAAAGCTGCATAATGTTTTCAGTGTCAGGATGTCTAATGTTCATGTTGCAAAGGAGTGCTTGGAGCGTAATGATTCCAGATTAATACATTGAAAACGTTATGAATTTGCCTTTTTCATGCTGGTGTAATATCTACCCAGTTGGACCGAGTCCCACAGCAGCAGATGCTCATACAGGCACAAGTGGAATTGGCCAAAATGCTAGTTGTCACAGAGTGATTATTGTTTCTATTTCTTGTTCGGTGACCTTCAGTACTTCCTTCCTTTAAAACTGTCCTTTCCAAACTGACTGACTTTGTTTCCCATCTGTTTTTCAGTCTGTTTAAATCGGGGCTGTTGTGATGATGCATTGCTGTTTGAGATCTCTTTAATCTTGTCAGTTTGTATTTAGGCCATTTATAGATTCTGAACTTATGATTGTGGTAAAACCTGGTTGTGGCTAATGAAATCAAGCTTTCCCAACAATTGTGATTAATTGCAATTAATTCATTTGAGGAAGGGAATTTATTATTCTTATTTTTTTTGCACAGGGACGTGTTGGATTGAGTCTTTTAACGATTGAAATCATGATTTGAAATTTTTTGTTTGTTTTTACTCATGTTATCTTTGTCTGTGATTAAAATCTGTTTATTGATTCTTAGATAGATGTAGTATAGTAGTGAGCTGAACACTTAGCTGCTGCTCGCAGCTTCTCAGAGTCTCACCATAATACTTCTCCTCTAATTTTCACACCATGTTTTTTGAGACTTTAAATTGGGTCCAAAGATACTGCATGTTGTCTTGGAAAATAAAACTTTGGTTTATTTACTTTAAAGTAAATAAACCAACCGAACCGAAACTCCTTTGAACCGGGTTTGATTTAGGGAGAAACTGAGAGAAACTCCCTACAGGAGAGAGATGGGTGAAAGGCACCGTGTACGTGACTGAAGAGATGGATAAGAAGAATTGTATGATTTAAGTTCCACTTCTCTCTTGCTTTTCTTTTCTCACGCTGATCTCTGATACTTACTCTGATTTTCTAAATAAAATGTCTAAAGACATATGCACATTTCTCTGATTGATTCAGTGTATCGCTCACTCCCAAAACGAAAAAGATTTTTCCTAAACAACGTATTGGAGCCAGCTGACTGGCAGTGCTCAGCAAAAATGCAAGGACGTGGTAGTGTTACCTTACTCTTAAACCCAATATTATGTCAGTTTCTACATTTTTCAATCTGTTTTTAACCTTGATTAACTTAAAAAATAAAACACAACTGTTTATATTTGTCTCTTGGGTCAATGCTACATAATTTTATACCAAATATGCCTTTACAATCCTATTTAAACTTGTATTGCATTCATGCAAAGTAGAAAATGTTGCATGCTTTTGTCCTAGTGCCATGCAGTGGGTTAAGACTTAAACAACCAGTAATTTGAGGCTTCATAATAAAAGCAGTTTGTTTTGCATTAACTAGGCCTTGTGCCACTAACCATAACTTTGTACATGACATGGACAAAAGCTTTGAATCCTTTTTTTTTCACTGTAATTTGATACTTTTATATGTCGAGTCAAGACTAAATATAACATCAGAAACCAATAATTATGATTTTTGTTTCTGCAGAACCTTTCTGCTTTATTTTGTCTGGCTCCTGTCTTTGTCGCTCTTCTGTCTGCCCCCTCATTTGTTTACGTAAATCCGTTCGCAGAATCTGCCCCGCATAGTTGGACTGTCATTTGGAGGAGAGGCTAAAAGGGGAACGCAGTTGGAGTTGGAGTAATTACCCAGTTTCATCACATGAGCTGTTTCTATTTTTAACCGCGTTCAGGGGGATTTACCAGACTTCTCATTCTTATTTCCTGAAGTCACTCCTGTAGTCGCTGAATCACGCCGGCATGCCTGCGCTTCTTCTTTCAGGGTGATCCAGTTGAGCCACCCTGTGCTCCCTGAGGGAGCGCTGCCACAACATGCTACACAAATGGCAGACCACAGCGCTGACTGCTTATCATGCTGTCCTCTTCACCTCAGGCAGCTGTTCACGTGGTTGAAACCCTGCCGTCACCGGCTGACTCTGGTTACCCAGCCTCATTTTGGTTTGATTTTGTCTTGCAGACGATGGGAACAGCTACCACCAACACGCCTCGTCCAGCACAGGATCCCTCCAGCAGGGGCAGCCAGAGGTAAACACCAACTTTCTGCTGCTGAGCTGAGTGACTCGTTCATTTCTGCTGACAGCCTTTTGGGGGATTTTTCTTTCTACCAGCTTATAATATTAAACTCACGAACATTTTCATTTTCACAGTCCTTTGAAGTAATATTTAAACCCAAGGGCATGGCGATTTATGGCTTATTTATAAAATCTCACATTTAATCTTTTTATTTTTCTCACTTTCTTTTCTAAAATAAAATTACAAATGACAGAAAATATTTTTTTTTTTAAATGGCTTTCATTTCAATCATCCCTTTTGCCACCACTATGATGAAGCAATTATAAGAATATAGTCATAATATTAGCAGCTTGCATATTTAATTTTTTGTTGTTTTTTGTGTTGGACTTCTCATAAAAATACTACTTCATTATCCTAATATTGTCTTTATTCTGTTAATATCAAGACTTTTTTCTTACATTACTACAACTGTATTCTTGTAACATTATGATCTTATTTTTGTCTAAAAATAAAAACTTAGCCTGATCCTTATATTTTGTGGTAGAGTAGACCTGAATTCAAAGTCCAAATAAATAGAAGTTGTAAAAAAAAAAAGCTCATCAGACAAGATGCTGACATCACTTTGACCTATGGAAACCCAAAGAGTGCATTAGTGAAAAAAAATTGATTAAAATCAAAGGATGCAAATTCTTTTGCTTGATGGTTTTAAAGTTGGTGCATTTGAAATCTCGTTGGTATTTTCACCTGCTGCTTTCCTCTTGTGTGATCGCTGTAAGAATTCGTTGTAAACATTTTTAGCATTCCTTCCTTCTTTTTCAGTATTTTGCGTGCTCACCGCCTACCACAAATGTTTGACTTTGTTTGCTAAAGTAACACTTTGTAGCATCAGCTTTGTACCAGAACAGGACTGGGCGAAGCTCTAATGCTCCTGTTTTTCCCCTCTTTCGTGCGATACGATAGTTTCCTTTAACGCCTGATGTGTGTGTAGAGACGTGCGAGTCTCTCAACACCAGCCAGGCCTCCTTGGCTTCGTCCGACTGCAGTGACAATACATGGGTCAGGAGTCCCACCTTAGAGCAAATCAGTTCTTTCACTGGGGTAAGACACCAGTCAGGCATGCAAACTCAAGTTTTCATTGAGTTTTTGTGTATTTTCTTACATCAACCCTGAGCTTTTTGCTTAACCTGTAAGATAGTTGAATGCTTCCCAGCTCTGGTGTGTTGGATTTATTGATATCTGTAAAAGTTGTTGCTACAGCTGTAGTGGTTTGAGGGTGATTTTTTTTTTAATTTTTTTTTTTCCCTTCATGTTACAAGGCGCCCTCTCACTGTCTGCTCGGTTCTTCCACAGCTTCGCAGAAAACGGGCGCTATTCCTGAAGTATCGTTCCAGGGTATGGCATGGTAAAACAGGCTCTGTGTCTGCCTGCGTGTTTGCTGGTCTGTCTCCTGCTACAGGCATTAGCTGCACAAAAAATACAGCTAGGTGGAAGAATACTTTATTGATCCAGAGAGGGAAATTGTATTGCTCTGACATCAAGGGAAGTCAATAATTTATTCCTTGGTAGAGAGCAGAGTCTGGCTTGTAGCAAGCATTTTGTTTCTGAGAGCAATGAAAACATCCACTAATGCAGTGGTTCCCAAACCTTTTCTCCTGCCTCCCCCAGTGGTTTCCAAACTATTTCTGCCACCCCCCCCTATGGCTTACAAATAGCTGTCTGGTTGAACGATGTGTGTGAGCGAAGGGGGGGAAACTCCCTGTTATACTCGGCCCCGGCTCCAGACGAACAAGGGGGGGAATCAACTTTTTGGGGGGCAAAATTAATCGTAGCTGAACATAGAGAACATTAGCCTACAAGCTACTTGTTAACAAGCTTAAGGCGCTGTATTTATTTAGCTAGTCATCTTTTAGCTAACATTACCTGCATCCAACAGCTTTACTCAACAGTCGGTTAGTTTGAGGGAAAAACTGTGAAAAGTTCTTTACGTTTTGCTGGTTTGCTGCCATGATCCTAACACACCTGCGTAGCTCTGCACAGCAGCAGCAGCAGATCTCCTTCCAACAGGTGTAAACCCAGCGCGAGTGTCCTAGCGCTCATGTGGCTCGGAAAAACAGGTTACAACATGTTAACAACGGATTAAACAGTTTTAACTGCTGATAAAAGTAACAGAGGACACAGATATGGGAAGTGCGGAAGCCCCTATTGTATCAAATTGACAGAGGAATAACAAAGAGTTGGCCATTCGAAGGTAAAAACCCAGCGCATACAGCGTTCATGTTTTTTTTTTTGTTTTTTTTCCCATCCAGACGGCTTCCCCCCTGCAATGGTATGGCGCCCCCCCTAGGGGGCGCTCCCCACAGTTTGGGAACCTCTGCACTAATGGTACCATCAGCTCAGTGAGAATGGAAAATTGCTTTTGAATAGTGTGTTATTTTTTTCCCACCTGTAATAGTTTTTGCTTCACTGCGGAGAAAGCAACACCCTGATGGTGTTGAAGCTTAATTAAAAGGCACAGTTTTGCAGACACACATATAGATCATTACATGTCTGTGCATGTCAGTGTGTGTGAGTACATTGTACAGTACAAGGTATAATCTAGGCCCTGCCCTGGGCTCATGACAGGAGGAAAATGTAGCTAAACATATGCTGCTCCGCTGGCTTATTTTAAGTAGCTTAAATGTGGTTTTGTTTAAGAAGCATGTTCGCATCTTAATGAACAGTGTCTTTTTTTAACTGAAAGGCTTTTCTAGGCTCCCTTCAACTGAAGACAACTATTTATCTAAGCTTTTAATCTATGCTGTGTTTTTAAATAAGCTTCTGTATCTTGTCATCTTTTCTCTACTAATTTGTATCTAGTCTCATATTTTGTGGGTGTTTTCTATGTTTAGATAACCTTTTAGGACTTAATATAGTAAAACACCTCAAATAGCCACGTTTACATGCATATCAGAAACCTAAAGTAATTGATAAAGACAACTCTTGTTATAATTGATTATAAATTAGCATTTTTTATGGTAATATTACATATGTAAGAGTATAAAAGTGCACTTTATAGCATCCTGTCATTTGGGAGTGGTGAGTAAATGTATAGCAATCTGGTTAAGTTTCACTGAGCAGAGGTGGCCCCCAGCAGATGTCCTGATTCCATATGGCTGATGTGTAATTATAGTAAATTAGAGAGTTTCTACAGTAGATTTCCAGTTAAAGAAAGCCCCCACCCTGCTGCCATGGTCAGCCTGGTCCAAAATGCTCCAGGGGGAAATGACATGTGGTTGTAATGTATGTGTAATTTGGACCTGGAAAGCTCTGCAAAGGTTGAGGCCTTGGGTGTTCGCTAGCTAGACATGGGCTGGTTGCTACATGGGCTGGTTCCAAAAGTGCAACCAAACATTTCATGTCACACCAATTCTTGCAGTGCTTCCCCGGTCCCACCTGTTTCTGTACTCTGCTGCATGTAAACCAGCCTGTATGGGGTCAGTATTCATGTTTTTGTCCATATCTCCCAGCTCTAGCTAGCCGTAAACTCCACTGATACAGTTGGAGGAAAGAGAGGAACGCTACGAAGCTTGAAGACACAATCTTAACTTTGACATGATGTCTGCTGCTGAAGGGTGTACATCACAAAATAAAATGCAACATGAGGAAATATTGAACCATCACTTCAACATGTGAATCAGAAAGTTAAAGTTTGGACACCAATGGTTGTTTTTAAAGACTCTGAGCATACCACCAAAGTCATTACAAAGTGGCTTCAAGTCAATATTTTTGGAGTATTTAATCACAGAGCACAGGTTTTAATTTCATGGAAAGTCTGTGGGAAGAAATGAAAAGGTGTGTATCTGTACAGAGGCCTGCAAATCTGACCCAGTTTTCCCAGGGAATTATGGGAATGGACCAAAACTCCAGTAAACTGTTGTGAGAAGCTAGAATGCTTGTAACCTTCTAAATTTGAAGGAAACGATAAAAGAAACATATTAGGAAAAGCAACTAACATCAAACAGGAAAAGTTCAATTTGAAGGTGAACTAACAAGGTTATGTGTCTTAACTGTATGTTATGACGCGAGGCCACTGCACAGGCCTAAGAAAATAAACAACAATATAATGGTTAATATCTGTATTGGCATATGACTGAAAATAAATGGAAAAAGCATGGACCCCATTCATAGTCCAGTACTACGTACCCCCACCCTCCACTTAACCCTTTCCCGATGCAGAGCTCTCATTTGATTAGCTAGCTGGCAGCTGCACTTCGACATCTCTCCCTGCCCCACCTCCTGCTCTCTTTGCTCAGCCTTTTCTGGATGACCGTGCCAGTGAGGGGTTGTCCAGGAAGATGGCTGGCCGTTGTCCCGGGAAGACTGGTCGGCTCTGATCGGAACGGAGATCAGTGCTTCCAGGGCCGGGCTCTTTTCCCCTGGGAAGAGGCAGTTTCTCTCTGTGAGGCAGGCATCCTGTTACATTTTTCTTTTTTTTTATTTCCTCACTGATGCTTTACAAGCAAAAAACAAGAAGGCCATGGAGGTAAAGTGCTCTCCCTTTTCCTCCCTTCTTTCCTTCAGCATCCGCCCAGTAGATTGAACAGACTCACATCAGCATTAGAGTAGAGAGAGCCAGGACTGAGTGGGTTGTGGTAGCTGTGGTTGTGCCAGATGGGTTCTGTGTGCTGCATGCACTCGTGTAGGTAGCTGCAGCAGTGGGGTTGAGGAAGAAACGATGTGTGCAGCTATTTTTAGCTTTCTGGACAGCTGAAAAAACACAGACGGCAAGACCTGTCCTCCCTTACAGCGTTACGGTTCAGTCAATATTTTTTGTTCCCCGACCTGTTAGCCTCTGCAGGGCTAGCGTTGGCTTATGCTCACTGTTTAAAATTACCAATATGAGTCGATATCAAAGGTAGTATTTAAAAACAAAAGAGTAAACCGATGGAGTTTTGTGGTTAATCAGATATTAGCTCTAAAACAAAGCTTTTACATTTTCCCCCCTGGCTTTCTTGACTTCCTCCAGAGCATTTTCTTATCAATTTCTGCAAAACAGTTTGAATTAAAGGGAGCAAAGCAAAAAGTATCCATCTTAGAATCCCTCCGTCAGCATGCCATTTGTGTTTGCTGTGAAATTGAATTTATCATTTATCTCCTGTGGTGCATTCATCCAAAGGCCTGAGACTGCAACTCTACCTATGTTCTTTCATAAAGTGTCTGCATTTCTGTGTTATCTCATTGTAGATTGGAAAACAGAAACTCAGCAAAGACTCTGTGTTCTTCCGGGATGGGATGAGGAGAATAGATTTCGTCCTCTCGTACGTCGACGATAAAGACTGTGAAAAAAAACAGGTAAGATCTATGTTAAATTGAGGTTATCTACATTTTTTTTCATTGTTTTTCTTCACATAGCACGCAGAACAATATTGAAGGATAAGCTTTCCACAAAGATGATGTCATTTCCTGCTATTGGAAAGAATCGCTTCGTGCAGGATATCCTTGAAGTTGTGTGCCAGCGTCCGAGCCTAAACGACACAGAGCCGTTGGCTGTTTTCGTCATCTTGCTGTAACAATTGTAAGATCATTTTTGGCGTGTTTTATACGGCCATTTTGGCCACACGGGCCCCCAGACTGTGCAGTAGTTTTATCACTTTCACTCCGGAGCGCTGAAAGAGTCTGTTTCCTAGGGAGCCGTTAGCCTTCACAGCAGTGTGTCACCAGCTCACACTTTGCCCACACTCTCAGTCAGTGAGTCAACAGTGTGACTGCTCGCCGTGACAGGAACTGGATTGTTTTTTCCACAGAGTGAGGAAGGGCCAACAGGAGGCCACTTCCTGTGGATTAGCCAGAATTGTTGTATAATATGGCACTAAGTCTCGTCCCTAACAAGAAGGTTTTATTTCCTTTTTAGGCCGACGTATTCTCAAAAGCGAAAGGCCATATGGGAGCTTTCACTTACTTTTAAATCCCATTTCTGCTGCCATGACTTACTTACTCTACTGGATGAGCAGTTTGTGTTCATGAAACACTTGTTTTGTTTTTTCTTGTTTTGTATCCTTGTACTCCATGGTAATCTTGTTCTTTCACGCGATGAACAGTGTGCTGCCAGATATGCATATTTCACATGAATTAAATAAATAATCTTGTGTTGTTGAGTTTTTGAGCAGATTTTAAATTGAAAGTATCTGGCCTTTCCGTCACGATTAGATGTTGTTTAAGATTTTTGCCTGTTTTTCATAACATTCGGATTCCTGTTTCTGTTTTGTGTTTCGTCTGCTCAAGGAGAGAAGGAGAATTTATGAAGACAACCTGAAAAATGCCGGCCTGGAGTTGGAAACAGAAGATAAGTCGGTAAGACGCACTTCCTGTGGACAGAATTAGTCGTAACTGGGGCACCGTTGATGTTTCTTTTCCATATTATTGCATAACTGCATGATTTCACACAGAGTAAAACTTTCAATTTAGCTTCCACCATGTGCTTCATATTGCTAAACAAGTAGAGTAGCATCACATCCAGTAAATGAGAATATGTGCTCAGATTAATGATGATTATTTGCTAAAATGTTTATTGGTCTGATGTAATACTCTAATCTTAAGTTGTCAGGTTTATATAAGCTGTAAACAGGAAATCATCATAATTAACAGAACCTCTTAAGACTGTGTGTGATTAAAAGAAGTGAACTTTTCAATCATCTAATTTGGCGAACACTGGTGTTTTTTTTTTGTTTTGTTTTTTAGTGTGATTTTAGATTTTCTTTTATATATCTTTTTTTTTTTCAGCATGGACAAAAAGTCCAGCCTAAATGTTAAGCCAAGTTAAGTTTATTTGTACAGCACATTTCAGCAACACAGCAGCTCAAAGTGCTTTTTCACCATAAAGAGTAAAACACTAACAAATTACAAAACAAGCAGTTATCATTACATTTTGTCAAATGCCATCATCAAATCACGAAGCTAATATACATCAAATATATTGATCAGTGTTCCAGTTACTAGGAATCAAAGGCAACTCTGACTCCATGAGTTAAAGGAACTCTGCGTTTCAGCATTTTTGCAGTTTTTTTGGAAGTTTGTTCCAGATTTGCGGTGCATAAACACCGAATGCTGTTTCTCCGTATTGTTTTTAAAAGAAAACAAACTGCAGATGAATTCATTTAAAGTTATTTTATGCGTTTAACAGGATTACCAATAAGTGTGCACTTATTATTATCTGTATGTTTGTGTTTTCATGATCAGGAGTCTGAGGATGGTAAGACGTACTTTGTGAAGATCCACGCGCCGTGGGAGGTGCTGGCCACCTATGCAGATGTGCTGAAGATCAAGGTTCCTTTTAGAGTTACCGACATGCCGGACGACCAGGAAATACCCATGAACTGGCTCTCCACTCCTTTTCGACTGCCCAAGAACATCATGAATCCCGAGCCGGACTATTTCACCGCTCCTTTTAGCAAGAGCAAGGCTGACTTCTTCCTTATCGACAACCAAGACACGTTCTTCCCTCCCTCCACTCGCAACAGGATAGTAAGCAAGGCCGGCCTTATCTTGTTTGTGACCTTCAATCTTTTATTGTTTAAAACTTTTATCAGCTGCAGTCCAGCAACATTTTGAAGGTTTTTCTTGTTGCAATTTGTTTGATGAAAAAACGAGCTTTTATTTTGCCTAACACAGCGGTCGTGTTTTCCCCGTCCCTGCAGGTCTACTATATCCTGTCCCGCTGTTTGTACGTCAGCGAGAATTGTGGAGACAAAAAGGGAATCAAGCGGTTGTTGAACAACGGCTCCTACACTTCTGCCTTCCCTCTTCATGATGTGAGTTTTTTTTAACCTGAAGTACTTTCCTAAACTCAAAACGACAACAAAAGAGGACGTATTTGGATTTCCAAATGAACTCTTTCTGCAATCACTTTAATAAAACAAAACTGAATGATAAACTGTTTTCTTTATGCCTGCAGTCCAGATACTGGATAAGATCCAAAGACGTCAACTGTGAAAGCGAAAGATACGACCTCTACAAACACTGGGCGAGATTCTTCTGCTTTTTCAAGGAGCAACCCATTAACCGCATCAGGTAAAACCCTTAAAGTGAGGTCAGCTGCCAAGCAGGTGTCAGAAATGAAAGCACAACTGATTCTCCTTTTACTTTCTGTTAAAGGAAATACTACGGCGAGAAGATTGGCATTTATTTCGCTTGGCTTGGTTTCTACACTGAGATGCTGCTGTTTGCTGCAGTGGTTGGAGCGATTTGTTTCCTTTACGGGTTCCTCACCTACGATGACAACGAGTGGAGGTAAGCTCCACAGAGAACATCGTCCCGGTTCCTGGTGGTTCAGATTGCTGCTGTATTCATTTGGATGTTTTCTCTCATGTTTTCCTTAATAGTAAAGAAATCTGCAGCGATGAAATTGGAGGGAAAATTGTCATGTGTCCCCTTTGCGACAAGAAGTGCAGTTACTGGAAACTCAACACGACATGCAACTCCTCGTGGGTGAGAGTTGTTGACTCATCTGCTACCCGCAAAGAATAATTATGGCTAATCACAAAACAAATCAGTTTGTTTATTAATTATGTTATAAACCTGTTTTTTTGTTGTTTTTGTTTTTTTCAGCAATCACACCTGTTTGACAATGTGGCGACTGTGTTTTTTGCCATTTTCATGGGAATTTGGGGTATGTAAACAAATCTGTGCTCATCATTTTCAAATTTTAAACGCAGTGTGCCACCTAGTGGACAAGCTGTTGTTAGCTTCTTGTTTTTCTTTCAGTCTCTGTCGTGTAGAGAATAAGACATTCTGTAGCAAGTCACTGTAAGCTGAAACTTTAAACTCTGTGATCAGAGAAAGGATCCTGACCTGATTTCCGCAGTTGTGATGCGCCATTTGCCCCTGCAGTGACGCTGTTCCTGGAGTTCTGGAAGAGGCGCCAGGCCCGACTGGAGTACGAGTGGGATCTGGTGGACTTTGAGGAGGAGCAGCAGCAGCTGCAGCTCCGGCCAGAATATGAGACCAGATGCACAAAGAGCAAGGAGAACCCCATCACTAAGGTGTTTGAGCACTAATGAAACACTGATCTACTGTGCCTACCAGTGACAATGTGGAAAAATCCCCTGTCTATCCATACATGAAACCACCATACTGTTTATTTATGTCATTCGTTTACAGTTTTAAAATGAACATGTCGCATGTTGATATAAACATTTTTAATGAAAAGGAGAGGGAGAAAAAAGTCTTATATAGGTAGTCTATCCCTTGTTTCAAAGGTTATACCATCGGCAACAAAACATCACTCAATCATCCATATACAAAACAGTCAATGTGTATAGTTATATAAAAAATAATAAAGAAAAAATTAATGGATCTGTCCATCATTTCATTTCTTTATTCATCAAAACTGGGCTTTAAGAGGCCGAAAGTTTGAGTCTGGAAGTATTTCTGGTCTAGTTTCTAGTGCAAATATTTTGAAACTAAACTTTTTTTAAGTGAACAATTCATTAATATAGATTTTTTTAAAAAGACCTAGTTCCACTGGCAGATTATTTCACTTATAACAAGACATATTTCCTATTTTGTTAGATAAAAAAAAAAGTGTCTTTGCAGTGTAAAATGTTTGCAGAACTGTGCATGAACCCTGAATATAAAGTATGAATACTATTTACACAAAATGAATAAAAGAGATAAGATTGCCATCTTTCATTATTGCATCTTCAGGAACAAGAGGGGGTTCTTGACAAAACTGCTACATATCTAGCAGGGAAGTTTTTTCTGTGCTGGGCTTCTGTGATCCTTTGGGTAAGAGTGTTGCATCGCTTAGGACTTCCTGTGTGGTGAGGAAGAGGTGGAGCGTTGAGAAATGACAACTCTTCCTGGAAAGACTCCAAGGCCTGAGTCTCCTTATTCCATTTTCAGTGTCTAGCCTAAAGAGTTTCCTGAACACAAATGCTGAAAAAGAAACCTCAAAAGATAAATACACAAAAAATAGTTCTGATTGAGTTGCGCGTTTCTGCCTCAGATGTGAACCTGTAGCGGCTCAAGGAGCTTGGCCTTTCAGAGTTTTCTTTTCAGGACTTAACCAAGATGCCTGACCCCAATGCTTTGCTTGCTTCTGATTTAGGAACTGGAGCCTTACTTACCCATAACAAGCAAGTGTGCACGCTCATGTCTGTCTGGAGCTACCGTCCTGTTGTGGGTGAGCATTTCATCTTCTGATCAGATTTAAAACACTATTTCCATCTGCTGTCCTCCTCCTCTTATCTACCTCAGCTGTCTTTCACTTCATGTGTAAAACAAAAAGGAAGCTTTGAAATGCACTTTTCCAAACGTCTGGTAATGCTTTTCTAGAAGAAACTGAACAACATTTTGGTATTTTTATGGTTGTGACAGTTTAAGCTGAATAGTTTCAAGCATGCTGATAAAAACATTTCTGACTCTCATTTCCTCATTTTTCTAAACTGGTATGACTAAACAAATAAACTCAGTTGGACCTGTTGAGCCATGGGAGACACTCTATTTTTCATGCCTTTACTTTAATGCCAGACATAGCTTTTCTTATGAAATAACTTTAATGAGGCAAAAAGGGAAATATCCCAGAAGCTCCCTTCTGCAAAGCATACCTGCCCTGACAAAACAAAGGGATGAGATTCTTTACAGTTTATGCCTGTAAGGCCAGAACCAAACTTTATTCTTCTGATCAGTGAGCACATCATCAAGGCTAGTTGTACTAACAAGTCTGGATAACGTAATTTAGGAGATAAGACTCGAAATGTATAATTTTGGACACCTGTGAGGTGTTCAAAGCTCAAAGGAAAAACGGATTTAAAAAGGGAAGTATTTTTGACGCAACAAGTCGAGACATGTCTGTGGTTCATTCAGGCTGCAATAAGGGCAAGATTTTTAGGATTGCTGAATGGAGAACAGCAAACATCTTGAGTTTTATACCTCTGTTATGAAACAAACTGGATCTGGAGCACCAATTCGGTTTAGGTAATGCTGGCCGTGCTGATTGTCAACATAGGATGAGAAAGACAAGAAATGCCAGTGTCATAATTGTTTTTTTTATTTTTTTATTACTATTTAAAATAGTAAATATTTTCTCTCACATGCAGTTCTTGACTTTGCTCCTAAAATAAGTAATAATTTACCTCATGTGGTGGAAAGACAATTAAATCTATGATGCTGGTATAAAACTGAATTGATTAAGACATAAATCAGTAGGTTGGGAAATCTGTGTGTGTGTGTGTAGTATGTTGCATTCTTCTCCTTCCTAACGTCTGTGTTGTTGATTAAACCTAACACTCCTCCTTGCGTAGGTTTGGGTTTGCACTTCAGTGTCTCATTGTGATGTTTCCACTGTTAGTGTTCGGTTCGGTCTTTCATTTTGTCGCTGTGTTTTCTGTCCTGAAGATCTCATTGATCATTGCCTGCATCATTGGGGTCATAGCGTACCGCCTGGCGGTGTACGCGGCCTTCGCTAGCATCATGAAGGACAGCCCCACCAATCAGCTGGAGGTGGTCGGCCCCTACATCACCCCCCAGCTGGCCACCTCCGTCACAGCCTCTTGCATCAACTTTGTCATCATCATGATCCTCAACCTCATGTATGAGAAAGTGGCTGTTTGGATTACTGACATGGGTGAGGGCCAGAGCTCCATAACTTATTCAACCTTCACGGCATAAAAATCTCTGTAAATCGGATATTTTGGTTTCCACACAGAAATCCCAAAGACCCACCTGGAGTATGAGAACAAGTTGACGGTGAAGATGTTCCTCTTCCAGTTTGTCAACTACTACTCCTCGTGTTTCTACGTGGCGTTTTTTAAGGGGAAGTTTGTGGGCTACCCTGGGAAATACGCGTACATGTTTGGGGGCAACCTGAGAAACGAGGAGGTAACGTTTACACTGGATTTACCTTCAGTCTGTGTCTTTATTGAAGTCTGTTTACCTCCCATAGTTTCCCTTGGTCAATCTGTGTGTGTGTGTTGCAGTGCGACCCTGGCGGCTGTCTGATTGAGTTAACGACACAGCTGGTAATAGTGATGACTGGGAAACAGGTGTGGGGCAACATTCAGGAAGCTCTGCTGCCGTGAGTACAGAAACATGATGCTGTAGCTGCTCATACCGAGTAAATACAATGTGATTATCAGTCTTTACAAGACAAACTTGTAGCATAACCGAACAATTTAATCCATTATTTTAGTAATCAAGTATCCTGATGATTAATCGATTAAAAACCTTGGCATATTCTGCAGGTTTTTCATTTAACCATTTTAGCCTTTTTATGCAATATTAGAAACGCATTAAAAGATGCAAGTAAACAAATCAATCAATCAATCAAATTTTATTTGTATAGCACATTTCAGCAGCAAGGCATTTCAAAGTGCTTTACATAATTAAAATAAAAACAGAGAAAGAGAGAGATTTTAAGAAAAAGAAACAGTGAGAAATTAAAGTAAAGATAAAGAGATTTTTAAGAAAAATTAATAAAATAAAAAATAAAAACATTATCCACATGAGGACTTGCCCTTATGGGGTCTCCTCGAACATAAGAGGCTCTACAAGCCTTTCCTTCTGTAGGACTTTAGTCAAACCGCCATTTGACAAGGACCCAAAACTTTAAAACTTCTTTAGTCAAACCGCCAGCTTTCCTTTAATGTGCACTTGATCATCAACATGTGTGAAAAGCTCAACTTGGTGTAGGGCTGATCTACTGATTAAACTGTTTTATAATTGGACAGCAAAAAGTGCTTAATAGGAGATTTTTTGTTGTTACAGAACTTAAACCAGGTAAAGTTAAAATTGCACCACTTGAGGAGTTCTGGGTAGAACATATTTTCTGCCAAAGGACAGTTTTTTCTATCTTAAATGCAATATATATATATATATATATATACACAAGACTATGTCATCAAATAGCCTTATTTTGAGTCTATATACTCGTTATTAATTAATTATCACTAAATTAGTTAATCATTATTTCCATAATTGATTACCACAACTATTCTGATTGTTTCAGTCTTGATGTGTATTATTGTTTCTCAGTTTAAGTGCGTCTCCCTTAATCCCGTCAGTTTTCTGAAGGCTCTCTGCTGCCCTCTTGTGTTCGTTTTTAGCTGGGTGATGAACTGGTGGGGCAGCAGGAAGGCGCGGAGCCATCCAGAGAGCCTGTACAGTCGCTGGGAGCAGGACCATGACCTGCAGAGCTTCGGTCAGCTGGGGCTCTTCTATGAGTACCTGGAAATGGGTAGGAATCCATCCAACACAGACAGATTCACAACAGGACAGTGTTGCTGCAGATTTTTTTATATGTGGGTGTATATATATATATATATATATATATATATATATATATATACACATACATAAATGCTTATTTTTCTGGTAATGACAGTCTCTAATTATACTCTTGGTTTAAAAGGAAAAGATTTTAAGGAGGAAAATTAGCACATAAGGGGACTTATTATGGCAAATTCACATTTTGAACATTTTTATTCTTCCGTTTGGGTCTCAACCGCTTCTAAAAAAAAAAAAAACACCCAGCTGTTGTTTGGCAAAAAGTTTTTTTATGTCTGGAAAATGAGCTATATGAAAAACCTCCCGATTGTTAAGTCACAACCACCAAGCACTGTGCTGTTACCTAGCAACCCAAGTGAAGCTCCATGAGGTTTGGTGAGCTGTACAATGGCTGCTGGAAAAGACAAGTGTTTTGTTTCTGACTTGCCACTTAGAAACCACTCACTGCATCCTCGTTGGTTGTGCAGGAGGTGTTACTAATGCTTTTCAAAGATATACAGTTGTATAATTGCACATGTGTTTGCAACCATTTTATCTGCAAGTGTAAACGTTGAGTTTGGGGGGGATAGGCATCAGCAACTTGGTTAGATTTAAAGTGACAAGAGGCCTTGTCACTTTATTTTGAGCTCCTTTCATTCTGAAAGGAGCACAAAATAAGCAGAACTGAGCAGACCAAGAATGATTTTGTGCAAAAATGTGATGAAAGTGTCTTGTAAAGCCCATAGGTCTATCCTAACCTTTCCAATCATTTTCATAGAAGCATAATTTAAATACATGGATCCTCTAGATGGTGCTGTTTCATTGTTCTGCCTCTCCTCTCTCTCACAGTGATCCAGTTCGGCTTCATCACGCTCTTCGTGGCTTCCTTCCCCTTGGCGCCGCTCTTGGCTCTTTTCAACAACATAATTGAAATCCGAGTGGACGCCTGGAAGCTCACCACTCAGTTCAGACGTCCTGTGGCAGCCAAAGCCCACAGCATCGGGGCCTGGGAGGAAATCCTCAACGGGATGGCCGTGCTGTCTGTCGTTACGAATGTGAGCGCGTAGCAGAATCTGCTGTCAGACCCTTTGGGTTGAATTTTCACTAAACCAACTAATGCAAAAATGTTTTCCTGCTTCCAGGCATTCATCGTGGCCTTCACCTCTGACATGATGCCTCGGCTGGTGTACATGTACGCCTACCAGCCGCAGGGACAGATGAATATGAAAGGTTACATAAACAACAGCCTGTCCGTGTTTAACGTCTCTGAGTTTGAAGACTCCAGCAGGCCCGAGGAGGCCGAGAACCCGATGTGGTTCAACATCACAACCTGCAGGTAAGAAGCAAACGGAAACTCTTTAGCTGTCCTTTAAGTCAGGGGTGTTCAGAGTTTGTGGCCCGGGAGCCATTTGTGGCTCCTGGACTAATGCTTTTTTTTTTTTTTTTTTTTTTTTAATGTGGTCTCCAACTGCACTTCAACAATGATGCAAAATTCAGGGTGAAACTATTATTGACATAATTTTCTTACAATGGAAAAAAACACATTATATTCATCTTTTTGCAACCAAAGTTTCAATATGAATACAACCACGTCTATCCTGATAGACTTTGTTGCAGCCGAATCAGCTTTTATTTCATTGCTTTTATTAAGTGTTTTGAAAGAATAAATTTGTTCAACTGAGTCTAAAATAATTTTAAAACTAGATGCCACTTTGTTTCAACACAGCAAATGTGCATTTTTACGTTTTAAATCTACAGTGAATAAGATCCCTTTCCTACACAAACAAAATGGACTACTTAATTTGCTTGACTTTAGTTTTTTTTGTTTTTTTGCCCACCCTGCTTTATGTTGTCAGTAATGGACAGTTGTCAACCCAATTTCAGTATTTATTTATTTTTTTCAATGTCTTGAAATGTTTTCTGTGCTTGATGCCAGTGATTTGACTGATCTTGGACAGACTTTAAAGTCTGGAAAGTTTTCCACAACCACAATGTGTTCAAGTTCTTCTTAAAGAACTTAAACACACTGTGGGCTTTAATAGCTGGACTTTAATAGCCCAGCTATTAAAGCCCACAATGTGTTTAAGTTCTTTAAGAAATGAGATCCTGCTCATTGCATCAGCTGGGCTTTAATAGCTCATTGCCAGCTGGAAGACAGTCGTTGATGCAGTAATTATCAAATAAGGCTTTAAAACATCTGTGTGTAATAAATGTACATACTATGTTTCACTTGGTTAAGAGACTGAAAAAAAACAAAGTTTTCTATAATATTCTAATCTATTGGATAAGTCTGTACACAAGGCTACATGTGATGGAAAATAACAGCACACACACATCCCATACACACATTCTCTACTATGAAACACAGGGGTTGTAGCATCATGCTGTGGGACGCCAACTTGATCAAATTCAGCATATAAGTAGTGATGATGATGATGATGTGCATCTAATTCAACAATAAAACTGGTGTTTTCAGTCAGTGTCATATTGTGTGCTAACATTGCTACTAAACAGCGCAGTTTCAATCTTGTTTTTGAATTTCAATCAAAGCATTAAAGTTAATCCGTATGAAGTTCTAATGTCTGATTTTCATACGTTTTTCTTTGCAGGTATCGTGATTATCGCTACCCCCCCGGCCACGAGAAGCAGTACTTCCACACGATGCAGTTTTGGCATATTTTAGCTGCCAAGCTAGCTTTCATCATTATTATGGAGGTAAAGAAAACAAGCCTCACTTTCTCCACCGTTCAGTTTGAGACGTTTTAAATGAGCAACGATCCAAACTGAACATTAGTCGAGAAATCTGAACACTTAGAATCTAAAAATCCCTTTGTAATCTGGATATCATGAAGGAACCATATCTTCTGTTCTTTATTGCTTGTTATTCTGGTTGGGCTTTTTGATGTTTTCCTCTAATCTGTTCTTTTTTTATTTTCTGCATTATTTCCTTGTGGCCTTTCTTTGCTTGTTTCCAAGTTATCTTTTCCTCTGCAATAAATTTCTAGTTAATGTTTCCATCTTTTATTTTAAAATGTCAGTAAAGAACTGAGAATTTTGCAAGAATCTGGGATTTTCATCTGAAATTTATTTAAGGATATACTGTATGTTATCACTGTAGGGATTTCTTTGTTCAAGGACAGCAAATCAACGTCTGCAAACTATGCAGTTTTTTTTTTCTTCAGAAAAGCTCCTTCTTTAATGCTGCATCTAGAAAATGTAAGTAGTTCTGTACATGTGCATAAAGCACCGTAGTTTTAATAAGTTTCTTCTTCTTCCTCCACAGCATGTTGTTTTCCTGGTTAAATATTTTGTGGCCTGGCTGATTCCGGACGTTCCCTCTGACGTGAGGGCTCGGGTAAAGAGGGAGCGCTTCCTCGTCCAGGAGTATCTTCACGACTATGAAGTCAATAAGCTGAAAATACAGCTCAGCCAACAAGACAACAAGGAGTGCACCTGTACGCCGATGATCTACCCGACGTTACCCAAACACGAGGTGCTGTCGGAGGTCCTCTAGCGCAGGGAGCGGCTGGTCAGTCTGTCTACTCACCTGCTGACTGTGGATTCACCGGCTTTAAAGACCAAAACTCTGTGCATGCTGACGATTTGACACACTTGAATTTAGACATCACTCTCTTCTTGTGAAGTTAAGATTTCCAAACTTTACTGTATTCAAACAATAAGCCGCACTGTGTCTTTAAGAGACGGCTCACTATTGTTTTGGTGTAAGGTTATTTAAAGTGCCACCAAAGAGTCGCCTTAATATCGACGCTTATTTATTTATTTTTTATTATTCTGATGAGGATTTCTGCAGTTCTGTGTTCATATCTTCAGCTTATTTTTAACCAGATTTGCTTTGATCAGTTCATCATCATTAAGGTCACTGCGGAAATTACATCAAATCCATCAGGCTAATATCGATTGTTACTCTTAATTTCACCTCATTATTTTCCCCAGGCCAAAACCTGAGATGTGAAGCAGCTTTTTGTTCTGAAGGGAAATCAGTGCTGCTGTTTCGACTGTGACTAAGGACAGATTTGATCCTGCAGAGGCCAGTTTTTGAGCTGTGGTAGCAGCAGCTGTTTAGCGCCGATTGTGTACACAGCGATGAAAGGATAAGAGTGCTCTCTTTTTAAATTTTAAAAAATGTATTTTTTTGCGTGTGTTTACCACACACCAGTGAATGGAAGCCTGTGTTTGCTTCGCTACACAAAGCCCGTCAGCCAGCGCCTGCGTCCATCCCTGTGTTTCCGCTTTCCTCAGAATAAAAGACACATTTTCCTTTTATTTTGCACAAAGCACTTAAAGTAATGCAACTACCAATATATGAACATTTATAACTTATCATTATCACGACACTAAGACTTTGTGATCAGTGTTTTAGGAAGCAGTTATCTCTCTTTTAGTTTGATCAAACTTTGATATATATATATATATATATATATATATATATATATATATATATGGGTTTTTTTTATTTAAGGATGCAGATATAAAGGACATTTCATCTGTTGCCTAAATAAAAACATGCAGAACATTTCTGTTCATTGAAGGACTTGAATCGGATGTAAAGTTATTGAATCCGTAGGTCTGTTTGAGATGTAATCCTGTGTAAGTTCGCCTCTCTCTTCCAGTTTGCCTTATCTACGCCGTGGCTCTGCTGACCACTATGCCTTAAAACATCTCATCCATTTTTCCTATGGTTTTACTTTTCTACCTAATTTCTTTTTTCCCAAGTTTTCTGCCATTATATTTGAGTCAGGATATGTTGTTTTTGATCATTCTTCAGGCAAAAATAAACTTGTTTACTGTATTTTTAATGGTAAATGTTCATGTTTTTATTTGCTTGTGTTCATTTTTTTTTTTTTTTCAGTGTCCTGTACCAAGTTATGAGACAACAGAAATAAATCTCCGAACTCAGACGGCGTTGTCGTTTATTGTTCAGATTCTTGACTTTTTTGGACTTGATATTTTTGACAAAACAAGCAGAACTATTACGTCAGCTGTTTACGTAAATGACTTTCTCTCCTGTATCTGTCACAACACAATATGATTTCTGCAATTATTGTACAGATTTTTCAACTGATTCATGGAGAACTTCAACAGGAAACCCACTCTGTTTGGAAACCACAGCTACAGACCCCAGAACAGATGGCCAAATAAAAAAAAAAAACGCATAACTATTCAGTGTTTGTTCACACTTTTGGAGGGGAGTCGGGGGGTGGGGGGAGGTTTACACCTCAAAATCCTGGCAGGGCTGGTTGGGTTGGCATCAGAGGTCAACAGGACAAAGACAAGGGGAGAACTCCAGTCCAGGCAAATTGTAAGGAATTACCTAGTTATAGATTTATGGACAATAGTCCAATAGATATTAATCAATTAGCTTGATCTATATTATAAATCATGTGTAATATCAGTTAATCATTAAATAAAAAATTAATGATTCATGTAAATAATAGTAAATAATTTTGATCTGGGTTCAACCCTTTTCCCCAAAAAAACGCACGTAATGGTCTCCATGTGGGTCTCCTTTTAGATGTACTCATTTTTCTGAGGCAGAGCCAGCCTGAGGCATAAGCGAACTTAGCCGCTGTCCCAGCAGAGGGCCACCCAGAGTCTTTGGAATCTCAGCATTGATTTATTAAGAACAAAGTAACTTCTAAAATCAAACCTTCATGTCCAAATTGGTACAACTGAGCAAAACATTTAACTTTGTCAACTTGTGAATGAATTTAATATGTACATAAACTGACGAGCGTACCGTGTGAAGAATCCAAAGTTAAATTCAGTGTTTTGTTGTTTTTACCCAACAGCAGAGAGCCACAGAGAATACATTTGTGATTACTGTTTGCAGAAATGGTGGATCAACCTCTTCTTTTCCTTTACATATGAAATATGTCCTCATTGCATCGAGGGCTCTTTGTTTTATATTTTTGTTTTCACAAACAGAGTAAAGGTTTCACAAATCTTAAATTGTGTTGAACAATTTAAGGAAAAGTGGGGATAAACAGATGGCAGGAAACACCCAGAGGAAACTGTACAGGTACAAAGAAGTGATTTAATTTTATTTCACATTATCTCCTATTGTCTTGGGGAGAAAAAAAACAAAAACATTATGCCAACAAATGTCCTTATTGTTCTTAAATCTTCTTCATGGAATGAATCGTCTAAATATTTAAGGATCAGATTATTTCCCAGGAGAACGGTTCCCTTCCACCAGCAGCTGGGGAAGCTTTTAATAATTAATGAACAGAACATGTAACACTGTAACACCAACAGATCCGACTGTAATAACTCAGATTGACAAACTTCATATCAGTTGATTTACAACCACAGAGGCAAACATTCTCCTCTAAGCGCATGTCAGTTTATTTAATTACAATGACAATTTGTTATTTATATTGTAATGGCATAATTGTTTAATAATGGTAGTTCCTCTTTCATATTTTACTACTTTAAATTAGTTAAAAATGTTCTTGGATTATTTTACATTTTAGTTTATTCACAATGTTCATTTGGAGGTAATAAAACAGATTTTTGTTTTTGCAGTTTTGCTTTTGTAAGCAAGTCAAGGAAGCATGGCTGCCATTTTTTTCCTATAAGTAAGGGAACAGAGCAGCAGAGAATGGATCTTTGTTTGTTGCTTCCCAAAACAGAGGAATGAACTATAAGTTGTTGAGAAGCAGAATCAAGAGTTTCGCTCAAGAGAAATATTTTGTCAAATCTTTTGTTGGATTGGTTGGTTTAAGTCTGAAGAAACAGAAACATTCAGCATCCTCTTTGATCATCTGCTTGGTCACACACTGATGTGGGATGACGCCCTGTTTTTCATCTGGCATTTGTTCAAAGTCAGACAGTTTGGTTGTGTTGGTCACTCTGTCAGGAATTCTTTGTCAATTTCCACAAGTGTTTGTTTCCACTCACAAATGTTTGATGTTGGTTTGCCCAGGCCGCTGAACAGGCTAGGACCGCCTCTAGGTGCTTTGTGTAACATTTATAAGTCCAGTGCTCCCCCTCCTTACATATAACCGGATATAGGTGCTCCAAGAAACAATGGCAAGAAGTCATTTTTAAAATAAACAACAAATCAGCCAAAAACATATTTATTTCTGTACTAAAGTTTCCCGGATGTGAATTATCGCCATAAGCAGGTCAAATGTCTCCGCGCTGAGATGCTGCAAGTGAACTGATTTAGATCTCATCTTCTTAAAAATACAAACCACTTCCAGCTCAGTGAGACACAGGAAAAGGACGGCGGTCGATCAGCTTGTTCCCGCTGACAGGTTTTGAATTTCTATAATTGAATTAGAGGCGCGGAGGCAGGAGAGGAGGGAGGGAGGAGCTGCTGACAGGTAGACGCGCTTCGTGCTCCTTCGTGATGCCGAGATCCTCCTCCGGCTGCTGCCACACCGGAGATCCTCACCTCAGATAGGACCGGAAATCCTCCCCTCATCACATCTCAAATAATAATCTTGCTTGTTTTGATTTTTTTTCATCCCCTCTGCGTTGCTGCTTTTGAGAAGATCTTTAAAAATGGCACCTCACGGATTAAAATCGCGCAAATCACCAGCGGACTCATCTGACTGCTGTTTGGTGACTGTGAATCCCTCTCTTTCTGGCTGAACGTTGTTCCTCCTTGTTTCTCCATTTTTTTTTCTCTCCCCCTCTTCACAGCTCCTCTTTTCAGGACATCGAGGCGTTTTCTAACGCGAAGAAAGACGCGCAATATTTGGAATAACATCGTAACAATATGCTTTTTTATGCCGCACTCCCTTTTATCATAGTATCTTAGGGTTTAATTTGAAAAGACAACTTGGAAATGGAGCCAGGGAAGGAGAAGGCATTTCCCATCAAAGAGGGGGTTAAACAGATCGCAGGAAAGGCCCTGGGGAAACTGTACAGGTAAGAGAAAGAAGTGATTTAATTTAATGTCATTGTTTCTTATAAATAAAAAATAAAAAAAAACCTTCCAAAAACTGATGCCCGCATAACTCCCTCTCGTTCTTAAATCTTCTCACTCTTAGAATATAGTGACAGCAGAGTCGTGTGGCCCGAATATTTAAGGATCAGATTATTTCCCAGGAGGACGGTCTCCCCTCCACCAGCAGCTGGGGGTGTTTTTAATAATTAATGAAAGAGAACGAGTCGTGACACAAAGTCCTGGAGATATCTGTAATACCCACGGATTCATAATTTCGGATCGATGAACTTCATCCAAGAGAAAAGCGGGGAGAACAGTTTGTTTCAGATTCTTGCATATTTACAAAGCTGTTTTTTTTTTCTTTTAAAAACGGAGCGAAATGATAGAGTATTTTTAAACAGAGCAAAAAATTATAAAGAAGCGTTTTTGCTGAATTACTGTGTTTTATGTCGCAGTTTTAATGTAACCTTTTGTCCTGCGCAGGTCTCATTCATTCGTGTTTCATGTCGAAATTGTTGAATTTAAAGCTGCAGCGCGGAAACGTGACTCGTTACCGAGAAAAAGGCCCATTTCTACCGAGTGAGGCCTTCACATCCAACCGGGTCGTAGGAAACTAGACCTCAGGTTTTCTGTGGAGAAATGCGTCGTGAGTTAAAGCAAAGGCTAATCAAAAAAAAAAAAAAAAAAAAAAAAAAAATAAAAATATATAAATATATAAAAAAAAAAAAAAAAAAAATTTAAAAAATA